CTGATCGTTCAACGGAGGCCCAGGATGAGGTCGTGTGACCAATAGGTGATTTCTTTGAAATCAGATAAGGCACAAAAATGGTTCTTATAAATAGATTAGTCTAAATTACCAACAGCATACTCAGAGACACTAGAAAATGTCATAANACAGAAGGATAAAAGAGAACTAACAAAAAGGTCACTGTCGAAAATACTACGGTCCCTAAAACAGTGGAACTTGATACACATAGAATGCCTCTGCAACCGATTCTAAACGGACCACGCATGATATCACTCGACGTCGTTCCCTCTTCACAAACGTTCCCATTGCTGAATATATCGAACACATATGTGACCACACGCAAAAGCAATAATTTTGAAACTAGAATATCAGTTGCAGGTCTCAAATAATCACCATACTTTCTAAAATACAACAAACAATTCAAAATCATTAACGAGTTTGATCTCCAAATAGATATTGTATTATTGGGATCTCCTCTAGGCAGATATTTTCATGGTTAGGGAGGAGAGTAAAATCCTCAACCGAACAATCGATCGTTGCGTATTTAACTAGAGATGACATTTTGTACTCTGTTGAGGACAGTATGAATCTGTCAGAACTCTTGAAAGTATCTAACTCACTTCATCCAAATATTAAGTTCACTCCATAGAACGAACAGAATAAACAGATCGCATTTCTGGAAGCTCTTCAAATCCGTCGACCAGACGTAATTATCCAATGCGCCATCGACAGAAAACCATCGTGAACTAAACAGCATATCCGTTTCAAGGACTATGTACCTTTGGAACGGAAAAGAAACCTGATTCAGTACGTCACTACCAGGGCACGGAAAATTTGTACAAAAGATGCTCTTGAGAAAGAATTGAGGTTTATTTAGGAGATTTCCTTTCAAAACAGGTACCCATATCGATTTGTGGACAACACTCTGAGGCGTCACCGGTTTCCAAATAGAGTCTCTACTGCTGAGAACTAACCGGTATACATATTGTAGTGAAAGCACGGGTGCAGACATTTTGATTTACTTGTGGGTCGTGTGCATGTCTCACTGGACCTTTTGGTTCGTGGTTGCTTTTTGAATTTTCTTTTTCTTGCGGGTCGTTTGAAGGCCCACGCCACGGAGAACCTATTGTGAGACGTGTGTCCTATCTGGGTATTGAGAGCATCAGTGAGTGACCTGTAATCGTGCGGCCTTTTTGTGAAGACGCTAACTGTATAAGAACTCGGACTGCGTTGCCCGGATACAATCTTCTAATGTATTTTGAGTGGAATCAGAACTGTGGGCGGTTCTGCGTACTATAATGTCAATATGTTTTAAGGGTGACACGATTGCCGAGATGGTGATACAAAGCTGAGTACAGCTGTAGAAAACCCATTGTCTGCAGTCAAACTTCGTATCGTGTTCATCTGCAGGCCACTTTTGTGCTCTCAAATCTAAGATAAATTGCCTGTTTCTTTAGTCTTTTTCTGTGTCTTGATCTACCTGTTCCTGTAGGGTACGTTATATTGGCGGCACGAGAAAATGTTTATATGAACTTGTCCGTGGCCATCATCCGGCCTCGTTGAATCGTGGAGTAAATAAGACTATCAACAATTTGATCGTTTTACGCCCGGTGGAATCAAACCACGCCGTTAATGTGGCCGAGTAGCTTCGAACCATCTACTTAGTTTGCGGTTGCTATTCTAAGAGGATTAGGAGTCGCTTTCTGGCCACAGTGGAAGCTATCTCGGTTTTTCAAATGCTGCGTTGAATTCACATGGCAATAAATCAATATCATTGACTGATTTAAGTCGGTGAAGCTTTCGCAACTCATGTTTTGAATAAACACAACCACTTCATAACCTCGTCCTTCAATCATAGCCATGGAAAGTCCGTCAGGAAAGTATTAGGATGCTGCTTACCGACTAGAACATTGTCAGTGAGCTGAGGTACACATATTTGCCAGTTTCACATCAGTTTCGGATTGGAAGAACAAAATCCATGTGTCTGAAGTCTACTGATCTCAAACGTAGCGATTTACGGCACCATGGGTGAACTTTTACTAGATGAACTTAACATGATACTAGACTTTTTTATTATGGAAAATGGAGTGGTACTCTTACTCTCTCCCTCACCTTTTATCCCTTCAGTTATCAAATAACCCCGTTGGTGCACATCCACCAGCGCATTTTATATGGGCGAATTGTGTATGTATCACCAGGGAGCTAAGCAGGGAAATTGTGCCCAACAAGATGTTACAATTCAATTTTGTTCAGAAGCGGCATTCAGCAGTTCTCAATCCGCTTTAGAGATCGGATGTTTCCACAGCAAGAATGAAATATGCAACGTTATAGCTCCAGTCAAAGTCTGTCATTAGAAAAGATCTTCTTTGCACGCATGATTCTACATCCCCAAATGAAACCACCAAGACATGCATCAATCAATATTTAACTTGTGAGCATTGTTATGAGCTGATTGTTTCTGATTATAAAGGCCAAC